TTCCACTCTCTTACAGAAAATCTCTATTGCCAGCACCTCATGGTGGGCACTGAGCAAGTCTGCATCATAGTCTAAGTCAGGGTTCTTTAACCTCAGTACTATTGACATTTTACATCAAATAATTCTTTGTTATATGAAGTTGTCTTGTACATTGTAGGATTTTAGCAGCACCTCTGGCCTATCCCCACTAGAACCCAATATCATACTTTGCCCCTAGTTGTGACATTTAAAGACATCTCCAGGGGCTGGCCCGGTGGTGCAGCAGTTAAATTCACATGTTCCACTTCTCGGCGGCCTGGGGTTCGCCAGTTCGGATCCCAAGTGCGGACATGGCACCGCTTGGCAGAAGCCATGCTGTGGTAGGCGTCCCACATATAAAATAGAGGAAGATGGGCATGGATGTTAGCTCAGGGACAGTCTTCCTCAGCAAAAAGAGGAAGATTGGCAGTAGTTAGTTCAGGGCTAATCTTCCTCAAAAACAAAGAAAAAAAAATGTCTCCAGACATTGTCAAATATCCCCAGAGGATAAAATTGCCTCCAGTTGAAAACCACTGGTCCATGTGAATGGCACTCCTCTGCTTGCTTCTAAATTTTGGAGTTTCCCATGGTTGAGTACTGGGCCCTCAGCTTTTCTCACTTCATACCATCTCCCTAGGTGATCACATCTATTTCCATGACTTTATGTACCATCTACTTGCCATCAATTGACTACTTGACGTATTCCCTTGAATGTTCCAAAAGCATTTCAATTGAGATTTCCAAGCCTGCTCCTCTTCCAATTTGCCCCATCTTCATATATGACATGTCCAAAGACCCAGCTGCTCAAGTCATAGGAACATAATTGACATTTTCCTAACTCTTACCTTCACATCCAATTCTTTACTAAATCCTATTGATTATACTGGATCTCTCAGCTCTGTCCACTGCCCTCAAACCCACTGGCACTACTTATTCCAGGCTACCATCACTTCTGGACTATGCTACTGTAAGACTTTTCTAACCTGTTTTTATGTGTCCACTTTTGCTTCTTGAGAACCTATTCTCTACTGTGCAACTAATTTAAAAATAGTATTCAGATCATGCAACTTCCTGTGTAAACTTTCAATCACTTCTATTTGCACTTAGAACAATATGCAACCTTCCTACCATGACCTACTAGGCCCTGCACAATCTAGACTGTGCTGGTTACACCTCCAAGCAACTTTCCCCTTTTTCCATGTTTCAACCATGCGAGCTTTGACTCTCTTTCTCAAGGGGGCCAAACTCTTTACCACTTTGACACTTGCAGTTTCCTGTGACTAGGAGGTCTTTCTGTGTCATTCAGGCTCATCTTAAAGTAAACTTCTTTTGAGAGAGACTTTCTCTGATCCTCCAAATCATATACAACATGCTATGTAAATATTTAACATGTATCATATCATATAAATCATACAGCAACCTTATGAGCTCGGTATCATTTTACAGGAAAAACATCAAGGCTTAGGAAGGTTAGTGAGATGCCCTAAACCAGAGAGTAACAGGATTTGAACCATTGCACTCTAATCTCAGAGCCTGGCCCTTATCCACACACACACTGCCTTTCCCAGTAGAGTTAGTCCAATGAAGATAGAATATATTTTACGAACTACAGCTTCACTCACTTCATACAACTTTGTTTCACCCACTAGTCTGTAAGCTTTCTGGGGGTGGAAGTTGTGATTATTGATCTCTGAATCTCCAGGGCAGGAGATACTAAAAACTTGTGGCTAAACAGTCGAAGAACAAAAAAGAGAGAATTCATCTCAAGAAAAAACAATGCTTTATTTATTCAAGACTTTTAATAAAATATTTAATCCCCAAACAGTAGTGACATAAAAGCAGTAACGAATGTTAAAGATTAGGACAGAAAAGGTGGATTTGGAAGCATGCGGGCATTGGTATTCAGTCACCTAGCGGGGGTAACCAAGCCCATCAGAAATGACATTAATGCATAAAGAAGGGGACCCTGACAAGCTAAATGGCACTTCTGAACCTGTCTCTAACCATAGACAGACACAGAAATCTCCAACACTGAATCCTACTTTATGAGTTGTGAATGATGTGTTCTTATGAGATAAAGACATTAGAGAAAAAGAAAGAAAACACAGGTGAGGGAACAATTCTGGAAAAAATGGTTTGCAGTCCCCAAAACTAAATAGCCTACTTGCTTTCTCAAAGATTTAAGAAAACAAGGATGCTTTATAACAATGATCCTTCCCATTCTTATTCCCTCCCCTACTGGCAGCCTCAATTCCATTTATCTCCTCCCTTCTCTACAAAAACATAGCAGGATTTCAAACCCCTTCCAATGTTTTTATAAGTGAAGCTTGGCTGATCCCATCAAGATGACAAAAGTGCTGTAGCCAATGAAGGAAAGATAAAGATGAAAGATTGCTGAATGTATCTGATTGTCTAATAAGAGAAGTCCTGTCATTTTATATCTGATGATTTCATTTTTAGATGGCAATTCCAGACAGTGTCCCTTTCAGTGAAGGAAAAATTTTTAAAACACCATTACTCCACTGGAGGGAATAAAAACTCTCCAAAGTTGTGAAATTAACCTCTCCCTTCATTCACACATTTGGTTCTATTTTTACAGTTGTACCAGCAATCTAAAAGAAAAAGCACTGAAAGTTAATTCCAGGTTTCTAAAATGTCTGACTGTGCATGTCCCAGTTTTCTTCAGCACCTCCCAGAAGATTCAGCCAATTTTTATTTCTGCAGCGCATCAGTGTTTATCATTTGTTTTACAACAGCACTGCATGTTCTTGAAAATTGACTTAGATGAATTTCACCCATCATTTACAAAAACTCAAGAGAGATAAATGGCCTTAAAAACAAAATCCACCACTGAGGCATGGTTAATTTACTAAAGGAACATTTCTATTTTTACTCTCTCAGTTCAATATTTACTTCATTACAGTGGTAACTCCACCCCTACCCCCACCAACCTCTGTATTTGTCGAGATTTCTGACAAATTTCCAGCTTATAATTAGGCATTATGAAAATTTACTGTATGAAAACTACTGCTAGATGAAAGCTTTTCCATTCAGCTTGCTTTAAAGGCATGTTGATGAGTCTCACGTCCAGGAAGGCTAAGAGTAAAATCATGGATATATTTTGATTGCACATGTATGAATAAACTGATTTCTTACGGACAAATGCTCTAAGAAGTGATTAAGTCAGAGAGACCTGGAAAACAATCCTGACTGTCTCTGAATAGCTGAGTAATCAAAGGTTAACTGCTTAATCTCTCAGTGCCTCAGTTTCCTTATCTACAAAATGAAGATATTCACACTAAGTGTCACACAGGGATATCAGAAGAATTAAACGAGAAAACCACCTAGGGCAGTGGCAGGCACATTGTAAATGCTCAATAAATACATCATTAGTATTTTTGTTAACAATACAGAGAAGAAACAGAGTAGGGAAGGTCCTCACCTCCCCACTCCCTGCCATCTTCAGTATTTCACCATCCTCATGACCAGTGAAAAGATTATCTAGGCAGCTTGTGGCCCTGGAAGCCCATGGCAACCCTGGAGAGCTCTGTCTCTGATAGGAAAGGACAAGAGTTCAGACATGAGGCAGTCTCCCAGGCCCAGCAGGGTCACCAACAGCCAACTACAGCACATCCCCCTGCAGGGATTAGAGGAGCGCATGACTCAGATTGACTACTTCTTGCTCTGTGAGTTTACACAAATTTCTACTCCCTCATCCTCAAAGTGAGAAGGTGGACAAAAAAACCTCTGATACTGTCTGTTTTCAGAGAGAATTAATTCAGAGCTGATGGGGAGAGCAACAGCAGAGAGTTTTCAGGGGCCCAGGAGCAAGTAAGAAATCTCAATGGAGACTTTTGCTAGCCTTATACCATCAAATAATCAGGAGAAAAGCAATGGTCGAAAGACAACCACATACGCTCAAATACAGGTTTGGCTTTCTGTTTGAACACGTCTCATCTCTACCAACACTCTAATAATTTCAGCAAACAGTTGTGGAGCTAACCTACAGTGAGCACTGTCTGTTCTCAACAATTTGCAAAGTCTTTACATGCACTATCTCATTATCATCTATCCTCAAAAGATCAGTACTATCATTATCTTCTTTTTCAGGTGAGGAAACCAAGGCAATAGAAAGATTAGGAAACTTCCTCACGAACACCAGATTGCAATGGAACCCAAATCTGACCCCAAACAGTCATCTACAGTCCTTACTTCTATCCTCTACTCCCATTCCCACTGATAAAACAACCATTGGAAATTTGGTCTTGCTTTCCCTGACTCATAATTAAATTTTCTGTAATAATATTTCTCTAAAACTTATATTACTGAGCTGGTCTGAGTCTTTAGGAGATTCTGGGCCTTTTTCATTTAATATTCACAATGGGCACATTTCAAGCATTGCAGTTCAACCAGATGAAATGGGGGAGTGCACCACAGAGGTGCGGACAAAACCACATGAGCCCTGAGTTCATACCTCGTGAAACTGTGTGATCGGTGCATGGGGGAATCTGTACACTGTTCACTCTACTTTTCTTTGAATTTGAGATTTTCCATAAGAAAAAGTTAAAAGCAATAAAAATTTCAACCACAAAGAAGATAACTGAAGATCTTAGGCCATTTCAGGATCCGGAGGGACATTCAGTTTCAGTAAGTCAATGCCTCTGCTGATAATTCCAAAGTCTAGATTTCAAGAACTGAAAAAAAGCCTTACTAATACAAGAATTCTCCCCCTAGAATATGTCTGTCTTGTCTATTTGGAACAATGAAGGTATTCCCAGAGTTGAATCTTTTGCTCGCTAGGATGTTTGTTGTTGTTGGAGCTACTGCTGCTCATTGGAAAACCTTTTGCTTCCTTCCTCGTAACAGGTTTATCTTTCTATAGCCTACAAATTACTAAAGACTATTTGCATAGTCAAACTTTAAAAGTTCCACCCAATATCCTTTCCACAGCTCTCTTAAAAAATTAAAAGAAAGAAACTTACCCATTCTGTTGTGCATTCCCTCTTTGCCAAAGCGTGCTGTGGTTTCGAAAACTAGCCCAGTTCTTCTGAACTTTTCTGTATCCGTTATAATATTAAAGAGCCACAAGGAAGGGAAGTGGTTAGTCAACTTGCTAATTTTATCAGTCCCTCCCACTGGTTAAATAGTACCTGATGCTACAGACACAAAATCAGTTTTCCAGCTCACTTCCCTGCTACAGCACGATTTTATAAAAACAGCATAACTCGAGGGGAAACACAGTGACAATATCTAGCTCATAGGCATGAGACAGTTAATGAATGAACATTTTATTACTATTAATAAGAAGCTAATAAACTACAGAAACCAGCGATTCAACAAAGTGAGGAGGAGGAGGAGGAGAGAGAATGTCTCTCAGCTCCAGACTCAAAGCAAACTCAGTCAGCTGGGTAGGAAGGGGAGTGATTTTTTAATGCAATCAGAGGACGTGTGGGAAGTAGCTGCTGTTTCATTTGTTGATAAATTGTTCTGCCCTGGAATGGTGCCAGTTTGCCGGATATAGAAACTTCCACAACTTGGGGCCCTGGCTCGGACGATTCTCTTCCCCTGGAGTTTAGCAATTAAAACACAGGACAAAGGAGCAGATATGTGCCTCTGGATGAGGGAAAATTAAACATCCTCTGAAGAAGGTATGAACTGTTTTATAGGTACAAAGATCTGCAATAAATGAGAACAAAATAAAGAGCCTGTGACAGATTTTAATAAAATACTTTGGATATGATGATCCAACTCCAAAAGATTGCAACATACAAAACACAGTCACCCAAGAGCCCGACATCACACAATTTTCTAAGCTACAAAATGGGTGGCATTTGAATTAAACCTGGAGTATTCACTTTGAAGTGTGTTCCCCACCATATCTAAGGATTATGACATTAGGAAATAAGAATGTCTGAAGTCCAAGTCATCATCGAAGACTCATTAACTGTGTCCTCTGATTGGCTGAGAAAAGGTCCATTTAGAGCAGTTTGTATATATTCACATGTGGTGATGGTGTCGCAAAAAGAGTTAAACTTGGTAAACTGAGACAGGCTAAGAAACTAGCAATTCACTACTGTCACCTTTCCCTTCTTAGTATTCCCCCCATTCAATATTACTCACCTAATAAAATAAGGAAAGAAAAAACTCTGGAGAGCTATCGAATTTATTTTTCCATCTCTATAAGTTTGTTTTCTGATTAGAGCTAAGAAAATGTACTGTACTGAAATGAAATGCAAGTGATGTCTTGCTCTGAGATCCCACCTACAATTTGCCTTGAAGAGCGACAGCTGCACAATTCCGAGCCCTCAAGGCCACATCTTTATATTTGTCTGAGTTTAAGGTGAAAACAAATACCTAAAATCAACACTTCACATCCATGACCAAGTTGCTTTAGTCTCTGTCACTTACATCTGTAGCTTCTGTGTCTTCAAGGAAGGAAGAGGAAAAGATACAGAGCTCTAAAGTGGAAAGAAGGGAAGGAAAAAAGAAAAAGACGCACTCTCTCCATCTCTAAAGCTCTCTGCAGCCTCCTCAAGCTTCTACATTCGGGGGCACCTCCTCAGCTACTTCTACAACCTTCCTTCCCAGTTCAAACATACCAATTTGCCCCTCTCTGAGATCCTAGAGCATATTTTATCATCCTCTAAGTCTAGCTGTAAATTATTTCTATGTAATGTCTTTTTAGAAGACTATAAGCCTCTTTAGGACCTATATACATCTTTGATGCTCATCTAGAACATTAAGCTTACCAAGCACAAAGTCCCACTTTTAAAACAAGTATGTTGCAATGCCTCTTTTGCTAACCTAAAATGAAACTGATAGATTCTAAATTCAATCTCTATAGAGTGTATTTTTAAAAATCAGTGAAGTGCTCCCAGGCTTGAGCATTTACACATTTAAGAAATCCTCCAATGCTTGCCCTACTACCAATGAGTAAATATATATCAAAGAGAAGAAACAAGAAGCTAGCCCTTACAAGAAAGGCAGGAAAATGAGACACTAGAGGGTTTGAGTGGACATTGGAATAAAATCTAGTAATAAAATAAGAAACAATATGCCAGACTTATAGGTACATGATAAAATAAAGGAAAATAAGATTAACTGAAGTCCAGATAACATGCTAAGGCAAATTACAGACTGTAGAAGTAAAGAAAATATGAAGAACGACTAATATTCTCTCATAGGAAATGAAAATTATTACTTATTCATAAAAGATCTAAGGAGTCTCAATTTTCTTTTTTTCTATATTGAACAAGGGAGCTCCAAACACACACTGAAGGAGCTGTGTGTGGTGGTTATTCAAGTACCATAGGCTATGCTGTTGTCAATGACATGGTTTTCCAAATGGTGAACAATTCATAGTAAAACTTCTAATAATAAAACATGAAATTATATGATAGTCATAGCCCTAGACAATTCAGTGAACACTAAATCTGAATAAAAACAGTTTTCATAAGTTCAACAGATTTTGTTTCCAGGTTCAAATAATTATAAACTGGTGTTTTACCCAAATGAATGTCCAAAGGGATATTTTAAAATGCAGGACATAAGAAAACTTCTTCCAGGTACAGGACTATCCCTCACATTATGGGACCTCTCACACCCCTGAATCAAGTCCAATAAATGTGAGTAGCACCCTCCAAGCATTGTGGCACCCAGAAAACATTCCCACAAATTCCCAAACCTTGCTTTAGAGGCCACTACAGTCTCATTGAAAAACCACTATCCTAGACAAACCACTACTCTTGCAGATTCAGCTGGCTTCAGGAATCAGGCATGAACATCAAGGAATGAAGGAAACTAGGGGAGGATTGCACTGAACGCAGGGCACAGGCCCCAGCTAACATGGGCCACAATCAGCTCCCACCAGCTGTGGCCAAGCAGATAATGAGCACTGCAGTGCTTCCCAACTTTCAAGAGGAATTAGACATCTGGATTTTTATGTGAAATCTCCTTTTCAAAAGATCAGCAAACACTCCTCAGACTACGCAAAATTTGTCTGCAAGCCGAAGTGATCACTGCCCTAGATATTAGTTGCTCAATAAAAAAAGTTGTAACAACATTTAAAAAATACGTAATGTCAAAGATATGATATTCAGTGTAATAAGCTGTTGACCAAGCACTTTGGTTTCATTTCATAAAAACAATTATATATGAATTATATAGAATAGACTTTGGAGTATGTGCCAACATGTTACCAGGAATTCTCTTTTGATAATTTTTTTTCATTTTTCTTTTTTACTTTTCAGTATTTTCTAATTTTTCTAAAACGAACACACAAGGTTTTATAGTAAAAAAGAAGCAATAGAAAGTATACTTAGTTTACATAAAATTAGAGGACTATAGCTATGAAAAGTTCTTTGAACACATTCAGAAAGGACCATAGTTAAAATGGAGAAACAAATGAAATAGCTCTCAAATACTTAATTCTGCTCCATCTCCAGCACTGGCTAAAGACCAGATGTCACAGTTAAGTTGTCTGCAAATCAGAAGAGGGACGTATCCAAGTAATAGGATTCATTACCTTGTGTTCCAGATATACATCATTACTTTACCTCCTTTATTAGATAAGCAGAGCCCATAGGTAGGATCTGACTGCATGCACGACATAGAAAGCACTCAAATAATTGTGTGTCAATTAAGAAAGATCTAAAGCTTTAAAAGAGGTAAAAAATAAATTTCCCTATGAGCTAACTAAAAATAATAATAAAGTTAACCTTTAAAATGAAGGCACTTTAATAATTTAAGTACCTTTTTCCTATTTACAAAATTAATATTAGAAGCTGAGTCATGTTTGAATTCAATAAAATTATTTTATTACCTTCCTCTAAGGCCTAAAAAGTACTTTATAAAATCTCTTCTTATAAGCCAGGCTTCTTCTTCAATCTGCCAAAGACTTTGATCACATTTTACTCTTATAAAAACTTATTTTTCCCCTAATTAGAAATGTTTCAAAGCTGATCATCCTAGACATCAAACATGACATCCTGGAAAAATAAGCTAGCATCTTAAAAAATCATACATAATAAGACCATTTAAAACTCACATCTATACACACTAAAAATTCTGCAATTACTATTGACTTTTTACAGTTTATAAAAAAGTACCACCAGATTATATAGAAAGGAATTTTTAGAATCATAGCAATTGGTGTGGAAATGATGACATAATTTTAGAAGATCTTACCTTTTCTTGTTAGGAAGTACAGTCATGCTAGTGCTTACTTTGAAAGGAAATTCGTCCTTTCTCCAGTCTTAAGCTATATGCTGACTGAAGCCTGAGTCCTTAAATATGTTTTCAAGTCAGTTCCTTTCAATTCTGCAGAAGCAGAAGATTATACAGTTTGTGAATGAAACCTTTCCTTTCAGGTATATCTTTCAATTTTGATGACAAAAGCAGATGTCTGCAGGTTTGAAAGTTGCTAATTCGACATTGTTGGGGAACCCAGGGTAAACACAACAAAATTACCAACAAAATTTATGCCCAGCATAAAAGGGGACATGAAAATCTCAGAAGCAGAGTATCATGCAGCACATCATTCTGAGGAAAGCATCCCACATTTAGTCTCTTTAAAATGCTTTAAGCATTTGATTAAACTTGCTGCTAAGGGAATTATTTTTAGCCAACATTTTGCTTATTGACATATATTCAAATAAATTTTTAAAAACTGCCATTGCAATGCAACATATCTAATACTTGCTGAAAAGAAGGGAAGACCACTCCAGGGTGTGTGTGTGTGTGTGTGTGTCTGTGTGTGTGTGTATTCCTCAGTAAACAAAACACATAACGTAACAATTTCACTGGTAATCAAACAAATGCCAATTATGAAAGATTAACATTTTTACCTATCGATGCTAATACACGATGCTGACAAGCTTATGATGTGAAGAGCACCTCATATACTACCAATAGGAGTGTAAATTGGTATACCTCTTCTGGAGAAAAAATTGTCACAGTATATCAAGAATCTTTTTAAAAGTTCACACTCTTTGAGAGTGACCATTTCTAGGAATCAGTTCTAAAGAAAAAGGAATCAAAGATGCAGATGGTAATTTATGTAAATAAATGTCCATCACGCTGTTATTTTAAAATGTTGTGAAAGAACTGCAAATTTTCTATATGCCCAATGTAAGTGGAATAACAAAAGAAGTTATGGTATAATCATAGGATAGATTATAATACAACTTCTATAAATCATGATATTGAAAATACGTAATGACACTAAAAAAATGTTCACAGTACAATGCTAAGTAAGGGAAAAAGATACAAAAAGATTATTATTATCCCTATCTTGGACCACAAATTATACTCCACTCACTCACACCTCATACATAAAATTTATCCACATATTCAATAGAAAACAGACTAAAAGAAAAGCCCAAAATGTGAAGAGTGATTATTTCTGGATGGTATGATTATAGATAAACTTTATATTCTTTGTCCTACCTTTTCTTTTTTGACCAAGGTTTTTACTTTGAGAGTCAGGGAAGAAAATAAATTCATAAATCTGAAGACATCAAAAACATGTGCAGCCCTTTTCATAAGTGCCAGAATCTTCTCATGTATCACAGTGCCATTTACTTAGTCTTTTGGCTTCAGAAATTTTATTTTAATGTTACTTGACTTTGTGGATTTTTATTTTACTCCTTGATAAAGAGAAGCCTGCCTAGCAACCCAGAAAATTTAGGCTGAAATTAACCTAATACGGAAAAGACTGCCAGTTGGCCATCGTTTTTAGTTACTCCACAAGAAATTCAATTACACTTAAAAACAGACTTAAAATTCACATCTAATTTATTGCAAAATGAATAAGCAAATTTTTACCTGGGACAACAGTAAGAGTGAATGTTGGGTTTAAATCAAGTGAAGGAGAAAGAAAATGATTTTTATCTAGTCTTCATAACACCAGAAACTTGAAAATTTTAGCTCATTTAATTATCACAACAATCCTGAGAGTTAAATTTTCTTACATCTATTTTATAGACAGGGAGACTAATTTACCCAAAGACTAGGTAAATTCACAAAGTTCTCATATTTGGTAAATGGAGGACCAGAATTGACTACAGATAAATTCTGACAATAAAACCAATGTCTAGCACTCTACAGAGATTTCTTTTGGAATCCAGATGGTTCACCAGTCATAGTCTTAAAACTACAGACAACTTAAAGAACAAAATCCTTGAGGATCAAGAAATAAAGGAGATTAAGAATGGAAACAAAACATGCTTCTCTCCTCTGTAGTGACTATGGTGGAAGATGAAATAAGAGCTAAAAGAGAATTGGAAAAAAGTACGCAGTTGAATACATAACTGAGGCCATGTTTTCTGAATCAAAAGTTAGGATATGTGATCTGACCATATGAAATACAAATGGTCCCAGAGTTTCATGTTCCAGTAGCCATCATATGTCCAGTGTTTAATGAAAAAGAAATAAATATACACACACATACGTATGTGTACATCTATACGGGGTGTTTAAATTGGTATCTACATATTATTTGTAAACACTAAATAAAATTCATAATTATTTTCTGACTGCAAAGTATTGTGTGTTATACAAATAATATATGATCATAAAATCAAATAATACACAAAATGTATGAAGACAAAGGTAAAAACTGTCTCCTAACCCTACACTGCCGAAGTAGCTATTGTTAACAGGGCAGCTTCCCAGACTTTCTTTCTATTCACATACATAAAATCATCTTCTCTTCAGAAAATGAAGTTTGGGTAAATTGTTCAAGTTGTATAGTTAGTGACATGAGGCAGGGTTTGAACAGACATCTGTCTAACTCTCACAGTAATGTTTTTTCTACTTCCTTATTTTGCCTAGGGTGAGGGGTAGGCAGAATACTCTACAAACACAGAAATGGGGGGGGGGGGTTCTATTTATTTGTTTTTAATACTTTTTAAAAATCCAAAGTATTAGATGGCTGATTCTGCCATTTACTACTGTTTTCCTTTGAGCAAATCATTTAATTCCCCAGGCGAATGTTCCCATCTATAAATAATGGTGATAATTTCCAAGAGTTCTGAAAAAGCCAATGACTCAGTGACTAAATGGAATTATATCTTAGTACTTAAAAGTCTCTGTTTTAGAGCAACATGACGTACTTGACATAAAACTTATGTTCTCTTTTAGAATTTTAAATGAAGAATTAAGATACCATTTGGGCCATGTGTACTGACAACCCATTCTACAAAGAGGAATGATAATCAGTTCACCAAGTAATACTCAGCCCTCTGTTATACTTTCTGCCACATGAACTTGGTATTCCACCAAGTTTAAAAATAAATCTCTAACTCACCTTTGATTTACTCTCTCTCTTCTTACATTATTACCATGCCCTACCATGGAATGTCTCCCCGTGATGGGTTAAAGTGTGCTTTGAGCATTAGAACACCAAGAATCAGAAAAGAGTCAAAGAGTTTCACATGCTCTTTATTCCTTTCTAAATGCAATGCCTAAACATTGTCCAGAATTTCCAATATTTATTTCAGCCCTAGTTTACAGGGTGGGAATCTGTGATCATTCAAACAGTCTTGGGTTCTAGCTTGTACTGCTCACATGGAACTGGGGCTGCACTAAGTGAAGGCTATACCTCCACCAGGCAGCAAGGAGGAGGGAGTGCCCAGGTCCATTTAGTTATCGACCCATTGTGAAATGCAGTTACAACATCCTTTCACCTGTGGGATACAAAGAGATAAGTTTCCCAGCAAGTCGCACACAATCAAAGTGAGCTGAATTCTTAAGTTTTCACCAAGTGATAATCACTTTCCCTCAGTGCAAATATGTGACTTCCCTTTCTGGAAAGGCCCCTGGGATCTTGCAATGTCTTGTTTAAGAATAATAATCATGATGTATCACTCTCATCTATTCCCTTAAGAAGTAAAATGTTTTTATTTCTCAACACTAGAGAGTCTTAGGTATTATTTTGGGGTTTTCCTGAGAAATATCCATAATATATTACCACTCACTAACTGTAGAGTCTTAGGAATGTTATTAAATGCTCTGCTCTTTATTTTCTCATTTATAAAATGGGCTAATAATACCTATTTCATAGAATTGCTGTGAACATTAAATAAGGTCAATGATATAAAGGGCCTTCACACAATGACTAGCACATTGTAAATGGTCTACAATTACTGGTCATAAAGAATAATTAAATAGTTTTCTTCTCTCCATTCTGAGAGGGATACTATAATGACTTTGTGTATGTGTGTGTGTATGTGTACGTTCTTTCCATTTTTTTAAAGGTGGGTGTAGGCTCATTTTGGTCCTTTTTAAAAAAGCTTTACTACATAGTTTTTAAAATCCTTTTAAGATCCATAATCCTATTGAATCAGGAATAAAACGTGTACTTAGTTTCAGGCAAACAATTGTTCAACAGAAGCCCCTTCAATTTTTAATTACTCTCACTTCCCTCTCCAAGTTCACTGTTATTCTCTGATTTTTTAATCTTGAAAGCCAGTCAGGGTACATTATTTATATTATATTCAATAGAAAGAAAAAGAAGAAAAGGAGTTTTATTCAGGACACTAACTCTAACCTTGAAAAGTTATTTTCTGAACATTTGTTCTGCTCACTGAGCAAATTTTAATCTTCAAGTCAGATGTCTAAATACAGTGCTTGAGCTCTGCTTAAAGGCTAAAAATATAGACTTCTGTGCAAGGTGATGGTTACAAAGGAAGGTGTTTAGAATATGGTTCAACAGAAGCTATGGTAATTGA